CTCCTCGCCTTCAGCAGCAGCAGTAGTACCGCTATTCCCGTTTTTCCTTCGGCTGCCATTGGCCTCGTTTAACCCTGCGCTCCCTTCTCTGCTCCCCACCTCCATCTCTTCGGCCTCGCCGGGATGGGAAAAACCTTTTCCCCGGGTGGGATATTGGGTACCGATCTCCCACTCCCCCTACCCCGGACCCCCGATCAGAAGCGCTTCGGGCAACTCCCGCATCCCAGAGCTCCATCAACAGCATCCCGGAGCTCCATCAACCGCATCCCGGAGCTCCAGCAGCAGCATCCCGGAGCTCCAGCGGCCCCATCCCATCCGCATCCCGGAGCTCCAGCAGCCGCATCCCAGCATCTCCTCCCGGTGAAGCCCCCACTGCTGCTGCTGCTTCTTCTTCTTCCCCGGAGGGCGGGTGATAAGTTGTAGCAGAGTTATACAGCACTTGATTATCAGTTTGCAGCAACAGCTGTGTATATTCACTAAGGATGTAAAGAAAATATCAGAAGATAATGCAGCGTTGCTATTTATTACCCTATAATTAAAGTTCTGACAGTGTTTCTATTATAAAACCTTATTTGCAAGGGTTCATAACTCAGAGGCGAAATTTTCCTTCAAGATGAAGCCTCGCTTACCAGGCGGAATCGTTTAAAAAGTATTTCAGTTAAATAAGGTTAGCCTATTAGAGGGTAGAATTCTCCAGGACTTTCATTAAGGTGCTCATTTATATCGGCAAATAAAGAATTGCAAAGTCCCCCAAATCAAGGATACATATATAAGAGGAAAATAATTTTTTTTTTTCAAAATCAAGGATTCATGGAAAGGTTTTAATATAATTCTCTAGGAAATTATTCCCATGAAAACAATTTGTTTGAAAGAAAATGCCCTCCAGTCTTTTCCACACAAACTAGTCTTGGGCTAGTACATGAGAACCAAACTTAAAAGTGACTATGAACAGAAATGAGACTGACTAATTCATTTCAACTGTCCCGACTGGAATAAAAAACAAAGAGTAAACAGCTTGAGCGGGGAAAGGTGAATTTAATTTTCAAGGCCCTTTAACTTTTAATAATCGGAGGAACAATATGGGAGGTACGTTCGACCCTCCCAGTTATCCCGATAGAAATTCAGTCAAGATTTATATTTGTGTAATAGAGGAGCAGAATTTGCTCCGTGATTTCTAATGAATCGCTGGCTCGGTCTTTAAAAAACGCAATTAGAAAAAAATCTAACCTCCTAATTCAGAACAGCTTGGAGCGAATGGCAGAGGTCTCGGCGCTGCAAACGCGGATGGAAACCGGTCTGCAGCACGGCCGGCGCGGGGCTGGGAACGCTGGAAACCGCTTTGCTGCAGAATTCCCTAGTTATTTTAGGATTTTCTTTTCTATTATGCGGGGAAAGACAATTCTCATGTGGAATAAACCTGTGTTTCCTGTGATCTCAAATACTAAGACAAAAGGATTGTGGGATTAGGTGCCTGGCCCGTTATTGATGCAGGAGGCGAGGAGCTGTCTGGTCGGAGCGCTGCCGGGAGAGCCTGGCAGGAGTCGGGAAAACCCATTCGTCTTTAACCCCGCACCGAAACTTGTACCAAAGCGCTTCCAGTTGCTGTGTCAATGCAGGTGACACATCAATAAATATGAAAAGTACGTCAAGGGCTAATTCTGCCATTTTACTCCTAAGATTAGGTCTCCGCATTCACCGCTTACTCACGTGTGTAGGAACAACGGGACCGAGATCCCAATTTGTCCCGCTGACCTTTTGAAGCGAAGGCTTTAAACCAAGCAGTGCGGGAGAGGCTGCCTCGTTTGATCTTCAGAAACGGCCAGGCGAAACTCCTCAGGTTGTCTCAGTCTCCATCGGGCCGGTGAGGGGAACACCGCCTCAGGGGAACTATCGCCTCCCACTACCCGGAAGTCCCACCTCACCCTCTTGACCGAGGACCTCGAAACAGGCCAGGGTGACCCCCGGCACGAGGCCAACCTGAAGGTCCTAGGAGATGAGGTAAGGACATGACATGTTCAGCCTTGCTCTACAGCAGCGGCGTATCTTCGCTGAGAATGTGAAGAAATAGCAGAAGATAACGCAGCATTGCTATTTATCACCCTGCAATTAAGAGTGTTTCTATCATAAAATGTTATTCGCAGGGGTTCGTAACTCAGAGGGAAAATTTTCCATCAAGATGAAGCCTCACTTACCAGGCTGAGCTGGGTCTGGTTGAAGTATCACTGATGAGTAAGTAAACCAAGGCAGAGCATCACCTCGCCAAGGAGCTCTGCGAGACCTCCATTGGCTCTGGGCACCGAGGACAGCAGGAGTCTTCAACTCGAAACTGCAGAGCTTTGGCGTACGGAGCCTGCTCGCCACAAGCCCTAGCATGACGTTACAGAATCTCCTCTTTCCCTTTCATTGGTTTGGAGAACGATGCACTGGGAAACTTGAATCGATTCGCTTTAATTGTACCATGCCTCAGTTTCCCCCTCAGTAAAACCAATAAAAATTCGCTCTTGTCAGTGGAAGGTGTGATAACATTAGTGAACATCTATGATACGCTCCGGTAAGATGCGCAAGGTAGTCCTCTAACTTGGCTCTACCAAGTATGACTACTGCACCTACACACGCTGTCTGGAGAAGACCACTTCTACTCAACCACCATAAACGCCCGGACCCAAGTTGGGTTTTGGTGGAGCAGAAATGAGGAGGAACCAGCACACAAGACACGTGATTACTGCAAAATTACAACTCGGCACTGCTCGGAAAATACCCGAACGCTTCCCATTGGATCTCCCTTGGGTTTTCCCATTGCTTAATGGAGGCATTTTAAAGAGAGGTACCGCACAGCGCTCACACTGAAAAAGGGCAGTTCAGCATCTTGCTGGTATCAGAAGGCACGTGTGGGGAGCGGGACGAGCCCGCGCGCCTTTCACCTGCTGTGGACGGTGCTCGGGCAAAGGACAGATGCTGATGTCTGCTGCCGGGCGACAACCAAACCCGTCCGCAAAGAGAGTTCTTACCAGGCTTCACATCGTAACGCCTTACCCAGAGTCCTCTTCTGGCTTCTTCCCAGAGCGGAGCTGAAAATCTTGGGATTGTCGTAACGTTTTATTATCACTTGCAAAACAGATTCTACTTCATCAGATAAAGACACAATTGCATTCATTGACTCTGACACAAGGATACGCACAGTGATAAACATACAGATAGATGTACACACTTATACATGAATGAGATATGCTAATTAAAAATTGCAGTGGGCACTTTATTAAAAATTTATTGTACAATCTACATCTTCAAAACATTTTACATCAACAAATACAGCAGCTTGACTGCTGGAATCATAAGTGATTTATCTTTAAAAGACTGTATTTGTAACTGGATGCAAAGATTCTTGATGAACTGCCGTTACGTTTAAGCTACTGGTTTTTATTGGAAGTATTCTGACTGTTATCTGCCTGTTCCCCATCCTTGAGAGAAATAAAACAAGTGTCTCGGCTTTCATTTTATCGGATAGATGGCACCATGTAGCATATTTCCCATGCTAGTTTGAATTACAGCTGTTTATCTTGCAGCTTTCTTTAAGATTAATTAAATGCAAATGTAACTCCGCGAATCATGGGATTACCTGCCAGACCCCTTATTAATACCTTCACTTAAAAACCCCCGTGCCAGAGAGTCATTAATTTGGACAAAAAAAAAAAAAAAAAAAAAAAAAAAAGAGAAAAAAACATCTCAAAAAGA